TTAATTAACGAAATACAGTTAAATCTTCCTGTCAACGGTAGCATTAATAACAGTATCGTGAAACTCACGATCAGAGGTAACAGTAAGGAAATAGAACGTAATGTACGTACCCAACTGAAAGATTTAACATTTCTCGATGTATACTTTGAGATAACATTTTTAGAAATAATTTCACTTTATTTCGAACAAATTGTACATACAATTATATCAAAACGTAAATTTTAATAATTATTCGACGAATATTTTCTTGAAATGTTTGTGAATAATTTTGTTCTGTAAAAATATTTTAAATATAAATCATATTTGTACTTTTAAAACCATTGTTCAATTTTCTTTCACTTCCTCTTTCCAGAAATTGTTATTTTAAAATAAAATTTTATCCGACATCTTTTCAACAATAAGCATTCTTTCTAATCTACGATGATGCATTATTTTTTTATCGTGACACGAGTCGGAATGCTCGCCAGTACAAATATTTGCGTGTTCTTTTTTTATTACCCTACGGCATTGTCAGTTACTACCTGCCACCGATCCCCGGTCGACCGCATGACGCTTTTCTTGGTCAAAATGTTTTTACCCCACCCCGTCTAATATCGACCATTTGATTCGACGAGCTATCCTTGCCATACGTATACCCTAACTGTTTTTACCCCACCCCGTCCAATATCGACCATTTGATTCGACGAGCTATCCTTGCCATACGTATACCCGTACCCCCATACCGTACCCTACGCAACTTTAGCTTAAATACCTCATCTAATCCTTAGACTAGTAAGATCTCGTTTAGCTCAACATACTAGGACCCTGCTCGGAAACACGAAGGCCCCAGGTTCAAATCCAGAGGAAATCAGAAAAAATAAAAAAAAAAAAATTCTCATCCCCACCTTTCGGGGCCAGTCGCCATTTTTTTTTCCCCAACACCCTCTCCCCCTACACCCACACTCGGAAAAACCAGACGCCGGTGGTGGGGGAAAGATAAGATAAGACTCGGCGCCAGACGGGTCGGTGGTGGGGGTTTGTTATGACGGGCCATAGTGCCCACTATACTACTAACATATAATCGCAATATTGATTCATCTGACTCTACAGTATTGATAACTTTATCGAACACACGTTTTTGATCCGTATTTAATTTTGCTATCATTTCAGATATGTCGATTTCTCGAACTGCTTTATCACCAAGATTCTTAAAATCTTGCATTGCTTCACCAGCTCCTATATTTTGAACACCTATCGGATTTTCAGGATCATCCTGAGACTGTTGTTTTTGTAAATTGTCATCTAGGCACTGCTGAACTAACTGTTTTGCAGTTTCAAATGCTTTTTGCAATTCTTCTAATTTTTCATGATATAGTAACGCTTGTACAAGATGCAATTTTTCTTTCTAAAACGATTCGGCGTATGTATCTCCGTTTTTAAAATCGTTTAATTTTCGCCATGGTTTCAACAGAAGTAATAACGCAAAGAAATAATTTTCCGGCTGTGTATTAACATTATATCTAAAATGATCAATAAGATATCCACGTTGTCGTCGTTTAAGATATTTACCATCATCTATTTTATAATATTCAACATACTTATTTTTTGGTTTGATCTTTGAGACATCATACCACTGTGCAAATTCATAAAGAGATATATTTTTTAATTTATTTGGTCTATGTGGATAAAGATCATCTATTAAGGACGGATAAAATATATCTGTAGATTCAGGATCAAGAGCTTCAATTTTCTTATAATTTTTTAATCTTTTACGTCGTATTTGATTAACATCTAACCATCTAATAGTTGTATTTCGATTAGTTCTATACAAAGAAATACCTAACAATGTATCAGCAGCTTCAAGAGCTCCACATTCTCTATTATTCACAAATCGCATATTTATATTTCAAAGACGACTTACTAATTTCTTATTATTATTATTATTATTATTATTATTTTCAGTATTAAGAATAGAATCAGACAACTCACATTTTGCTGCTTTATTCATATATTTAGTAATGTATGAAGTAAGCAGCGATGATTTTTCCTTCTTTAAAAAAGGCATGTTAAGTCGATTCTCGAATGTATCGAAGGCCTCTCGAAAGTCTCGAAGTGTATTGTTGCCTCTTTTCCGTCGCTCTGATTGGTTTTTACGGTGTTACATGCTTCGTGTTATTTAAGTACTATTTGTCATTTGACATCGCGAAGGTTATATTAACAGTGCAATGCAAAAATAAAATAAGAGAAAATAATTACGAAGAAGAATTTTTAAGACAAACTTCGAAAGATACGCGGTAAGTATAATAATACTTTTATATATAAAATGTGTTACATACTCACACATTAATATATATATATATATACATCATATAACGCTATTTAAATTCTGTTATATTAATGACATAACCAAAATTTATTTATAACTTATTTACTTTTAATTTATATTATATATTATATATATTATTATATTATATATTATATATTTATATTATATATTATATATTATTTTTTATATTTTTTTATATATATATATATATATATATTACAATTTATTTATATACATATATTAATATTATTTATTTATATTATAAAATATAAATAAATTAAAATTTTATTATCAGCTTTATTGTAATGTTCTATAATCATACAGATTAATTTAATTATCTTAATTACAGGTCAACATTAATTACTGATTTTCATTAGTAGCAACCAGACGTTTTCACAAGTAACATCGCAATATCGAAGAAGAAAGAATTATTAGAAATAATGCAGGAAGATCTTAGAAAAAAAGTAAAAGAATTAAACGGGATGGAAGTTTTAACTTCAAATGAAGTTTTAAATAATATTCAAGTTTTCGATTCAACTGTGTGAGTATTAAATTTTGATTTAATTATTTCTAATTAAAAACACATTTTTATGTAATTCTTATCATCTTTTACGTATAAAAAAGATCAAATTATAAAGAAAATCATTATTATATGAAATATTTTACAATTTATTTTACAATTAATATACAGAGACAGAAATAGTTTATGATAATTAACTGTTTAATTTGTGTTCAAATTGTTAATTATTTATATCGCTTCATTTTTAGAATTGTACTGTTAAGGATTGTTTAACATATAAAATATTTCAACAGATAATTATTTTAATATTTTTATGCATTTTAACATTTTTATACAAAACAGAGCTTGGCACAATTTGCATATATTGATTAATTTTTGAGAGTCACCGTTACCGCCTTCCCTTTACGTTTAACGTCTTAGCAACGAACTGTTTAACAGCCTAACTAAGCACGTGGCGCTCTGTCTCAGGTACGCATCTCTAACACGACGTGATTCTGTATCTCCCGTGACTGCCAAATATCAATGTTTTTAAATGCGATCTTTAAAATCTTTCTTTTTAAATAGTTTAATCAGTAACAAAATTTTAATTCTTAATTAATAATTACATTTACGATATAATAATCCTAAAATATTAAATTATATGCAATAGATTAAAAATACCTTGAGGATACGGGGGATATGAAATCACGTTGTGTTACATAAATGCGTCGTATCTGAGACAGAACGCTGCGTGCTTAGTTACAGCTGTTAGATGATTTGTTGTTAAAACGTCAAGATGTAAGAGGTAGGCAGTAATTTTCAAAAATCGATCGAAATATGCAAATTATATCAAATTCTGTTGTAGAATAATAAAAAGACAAAAAAAAAATTCCAAAATACAAATTATTTCAAATTCTTTTGTCTTTTACTTGATTTTATATTTTGTTAATATTTTTATTGTTTTTATTATTAATTTAATATTAATATATTTTGCATTGTAAATTGCATTTTATAATGTTATGTAAAAAACTCTTTTCTATTGTAATTTTTTATTGTAAATTTTATATTTTTATATTTTATTGTTATTTGCGCGTGTGTGCTACATTTTCTTACATGTATTTCATTACTTTTTTACAACTTATATTCTAAAATATTCTTATATATATACTTTTAAATTTAATTATTCTAAAATTTAATTATTTGATTTTATAAAAATTAATATTCTTATATCATGATAATATATGCAATAATTACAATAAATGTGAGATATTAAAATCAATGATGGAATAATATAAATATAAAATAAAATACGCGAGACGTTTCGACACTAACTTGTGTCTGATTTTTCAGTCGCTTTTTTCTTCAATTTCTAATGTAGTGTTTTTTTCCATTCGAATTTCTTTCTTTTTTTATTGTCCATGAGTTAAAATGTGTTTTGATGTGGTCGTTTATATATAAAATCAAATAGTTTAATTTCTAATAATTAAATTTAAAAGTTAAGAGTTTTAACAAGGCTCTGTAATATAAATATAAATTTAAAGATATAAGACAGGCAGTAAGAGCCAACTCGCGGATGACAGTGCGTTATCCTAACGAAACTAAATTTTTCGTTAGGATTAAGTATCTGTGCACAAGGCACCAAATTTTACTTGGTCACGGCCAAGATTTAGCCAAGGCTCAGTTGGAAGAGCAGTCGCCCGGCAAGCGAAAGGTCTCGGGTTCGATTCCCGATTCAGCGACTTTCGGATCTATATTTTTCTCTTGCATTTACTTATTTCCGTAGGGGGGTGAAAGGGGTATTGAAATTAAATCTCAAATATGAGATTATTTCATATTTTAAATCTTGGCCGTGACCAAGTAAAATTTGGTGCCTTGTGGAATTGGAAACATAATTTCTATGGTTTTATTAAAAGACAGTTTGGCATTTTTTTGAGTTGAATCTAAGGAAATTCTCCATTTTTCATACTTTCTAAAAAGTATACGTTACACACATATATAATATATAAATATAATTTATTTTTTTAATATATTTTTCTATTAAAAAATATATAAAAATACTGGAAGAGTATTAAATAATTATTTACATATTATATAATATGTAAAATTTTTTATCTTTATTTTTTAATTTTTTAAATTTTTTACTACTTTAATTTCTCTTTACTTTCTTTACACTTTTTAATTTCTTTATTTTTGTAGTGAGGTAGTAGGCTTTGTAGACGGTATTGAAGCCTCACGTTATGTTGGCGACAAGAAACAATATAAAGTTTTTAAATTTTATATTAATAATGGCGAAGGGAGGCAAGTACAAGTTGTCGTGTGGAATGACGATATTACACCCGTAGAACCACATGTAAAATTAAACCACGTGAGTATTTGTTTTCTCTTTTTGCTTTCTCATAGAGGAAACTTAGTTTTCGTGAAAAAATCTTTCAGATCAATGTGTTCAGAATTTTCCAAACCATCAAAAAATAACATTAAAAAATATCTATGTGTGTGTATGTATGTATATATGTCTGCCGACTCACTTTTCCGAAAATTTAAACGTTTCAAGAATTGTTTGAGCTACAGCACTCCACTTTGGCATACAAATAAAATAGTACAATACTTTTATTTATTACCATTTTTATAAAAATTTATATAGTATTTTAAATCTTAATGCAATTTTAATTTTTCGATAAATGTTTGTGATTGTTCTAACTTCTATAAATTTTGACATATCGAGGTAAATTCTTTTACTTGAATAGAGTATCATTAAAGAATAAAGAATGGTTGCTATTAAATTTAATGAAGATCGGTGATCATTTTTCATAAAATTTTGAATTTTTTAAATAATATAAATTTTCGAATTTTTTACAAAAGAAACATACAAAAGGAACATACAAAATAAATAAATATATATATATATATATATATATACACGTATGTTATTTATTTAAGAAATTTTTTAAATTTGATTTCAATTCAATAAGTTAATTATTTGTATATTTTTAATTAATATAAAATTTATATTATAGATTATTCATTTAGACGGAGTGCAGGCTCGTACTCCTATTTCATATAATAACGGCAATGTGCCCTACGAGCTACAGATCCAGAGTAATACAACAATCTCCAATTTGGGGAAATATAATATGGAACGAACCAATTTAATCGAACCGGAGCTGTGGAGTTTTGTGATGTAATGAATACATCATCAAGAGTCGGTAAATTACAATTCAATCTTATGCCTTCTCATACTCATGAATTGTTTATTATTATTCTTGTTATTTTTATTCATTTTTTATAATACTATTTAATATTTCGAAAAATATTGAAAATACAAAAAAAATGTTTTATACCAAAGTTTTATAACTTCAAGTGAAACGAAAAATGGTATCATTAGTTTGATTTTGGATAATTGTTTGAAGGTCACATGAAGATCAACTTCTATTTTTTAAATGGAAGCTTCTATTTTTGAATACTTATTCTTGTAGCTTATCTCGAAAGCTTTCCAAAACAATATAATAAAATATTTTTCTCTTAAATATTTCTTGAGTTACATAAAATACAAAATATCTTGTGAAACATTCAGTTTTCAGCAATTTTACTTTAATACTTTTATACATAGAATAATGAAACCAATCAATTAGTGTAAAAAAATACATAGTTGCATTAAAAAAAAGTGTGCAGTTGCAATGGCAAATTACTTACATTTTTTTTAAATACTTATTTGTTTTCTTTATATCAATTAATTGGTCTCATTATTCCGTGCATAAAAGTATTAAAGTAGGGATTACGGAAAACTGAATATTTTACAAGATATTTTATGTTTTATGTTAAAAAATTGTAAACTTTAAGCTTTATATCTCAAAAAGTACTTAAGAGAAAAGTATTTTATTATAGTGTTTTGGAAAGCTCTCGAAATAAGCAACTACAAGAATATGCATTAAAAAATAAGGGTTTCCATTTAAGAAATTGAAAGTGACCTTCACGTAAGATTCAAACGATTATGCAAGATCAAACCAATGATATCCTGTCTGTCCCCCTCAAAGTCATAAAACTTTTGTATAAAACATTTTTTTCGTATTTTCTATATTTTTCGAAATATTGGTGTAGACCTGATAGTGTAGGTCTGATAAAAAGTCCACCACGTTTTTTTCAAAAACGATTAGAGATAGGGGAAGATATAGAAAATATCTATTTTCAAAATTAGGGTTTAAAGTATCGATTTACAAATCTTATCACTTTGATCTTGGATGACGTTGCCAAGGTCAAAGTAAAAACATCTTGAATTTTTTAAATAAGATCATCATATATTTTTATTATTTTATAAATTGATTCCTTGTAATATTCTGTATAAGAAGTTATAAAAGAGTAGGATGATTAAAAAGTGAATATATAGATTATAAAATATTTTATATTTTAATTTTACATAATCTTACATGAACTGTGAAATTTCTCTTAAAATATTCATTTTTTGATAATCTTATCTTAATATTTTTATAAATAAAATAATGAAAAAAATCGATTAGTCTAGAGAAAATACATAATTGTTTTTAAGAAAAAATATGTAATTTTCAACTAGAAGCCATTTTGTACATAAAAGTATTAGGATAAGATTATTGAAAAATGAATATTTTACAAGATATTTCATAATTTATGTAAGATTATGTCAAATTAAAATATGAAATATCTCGTAAACTATTCACTTTTTGACCTTTTTACTTTTATAACTTTTTATACAGAATATTATAGAAATCGATTTGTATAAAATAGTATGGTGATTCTATTTAAAAAATTCAAGTTTTTGTCTTGACCTTGGCAACACCATTTAAGGTCAAAATGATAAGATTTGTAAATAGATATTTTTAAACCTATAATTTTGATAATGTATATTATTCTTTATATCTTCCTTTATCTTTAACCTTTTTTTTTGAGAAGAACGTAATGAATTTTCTATTAGACTCACTCTGTATATATGTTTATATATTTATATGTTTATATATTTATATGTTTATATATTTATATGTTTATATATTTATATATTTATATATGTTTATATATTTTTTCTTTTATAGCATTAGAGGGCTATATAAAGTCCAATTTTGGGCCAATTTATAAAACTAATTTGAATAAGAAAATTGGATGTGGATCCATCACTGATGGGTACTTTAAATTAGAAGTACATATTACAAAGTTTGAAGAAAACGATTATGAACTTATGAAAGGAGATAAAATTAAAGTAATTGGCGAGATGCAATATGCAAGTAAGAAATGTTTAAATATTTATTATTATTATTATTAATTTCAATTTCATTAATTTTAAACTTTCCTGCTTTGATATTTTGATTTCGTAATCATGGTGTTTCAAAAAAATATAATAATAAATTTAAGGGCTTTTTAAAAATGTTTTTGTAAATAAAAAAATGTCAATAAATTTATATCTTCGATTATCAACTAAATTAAAGAATTATAGATAAATTCATTTATTTTTTGAACTTACAAATTTTCAAACAACATTAAATTAACAAATTTTAAATTTAATAACATTATTAAATATTTAAGTAATTAAAATGATTTCCTTGTTCCCTTTCCTTCGTATACACACACATTTCACAGCAATTTTTTTATGATTATATGTTAATACCTTTATTCTTTTTCGAAATTATACATATATATTTTATTTTTATATATAATAACTGTGTAATAATTATTTACAGTTGATCCACCGTACTTTTCAGTACAAAGTCTAAAAGACATTAAGAAATTAGAAGAGCGAATGTCTTTGACTACTATAATAAATGTTAATTGCAAGTTAAAGAAAAAGAAATTTGAAGAAAATTCATCACAACAGGTAAAAATTATATCATCATTAAAAGTAATAAGTGTAATCGGTGTGTGTACAAGGTGAGTCAAAAGTATGTTTAAAAAATTTGTGTATTCTTGCATAAAAGGAACAAGCTCACAAATTTTGAAAACAATATTTTTGATTCACCTTATATCTGCATAGAGAGAAACCGAGAGTGCAAACTTCTCCATTTGTTTACATAAACAGCTTCAGTAAGCAACTACTACGAAGTAGCAAATAAATGTATAAAAAATGTTTAAAACTCATTTTAAAAGCTATTTAAAAAATGTTAAAATAATTGGTTAAGTCCCTTTTTATTCATTAAAAAAAGTTTACTTTTATATGTTAATGTATTATAAATATTAATTTAACGTTTATTAAATATTTTATATATTTTTATATTTTTTAAAAATATTAATAAATTTTTATATTTTTTAAAAATATTAATAAAATAAATATGTAATAAACGTTAAATAAACATTTATTTTATTAATATTTTAATAATAAAATATTAAATATTTAGGTTCTCTTAAATATAAGGTTCTCGGGTTCGATTCCCGATTCAGCCACTTTCGGATCTATATTTTTCTCGTATTTATTTCTTTAAGGGGGCTCAGAGGGGGTTCAATAAAATTATGGTAAATCTCAAAGATGAGATTATTCCATATATTTAAGTCTTGGCAGTGACCAAGTAAAATTCGTGCCTTGTGTGCGTGCGTGCGTGCGTGCGTGCGTGTGGGCGTGTGTGTGTGTGTGTGTACATGCTGAGACAAAGAATCCCTGGAAAATGTAGAAAATAATAAGTTATACAGAAAAGTATTTTGGATAAAAGTTGCAGAGTTTATGAAGATCTAATTACAGATCTTATTATTTTGACATTGGATGACGTTGGCATAGTCAGGACAAGATCATCTTGACTTTTTTGAACATTTACTATAATGTATATGTTTATTTATATAATATATAATTATTGTATATTTTTCTATACATATTGGATACTTGAATCCATCAAACTATTACTGCCTTTTTTGCAAAATGTTATTTCTTCCCTCGCCACACTTACTTCGATAGTTATTTCAATTTTGACAGTTGTATCAAGAAGTTAATTATGTTCATAAAGTAAGTATATATGTCATTAAAAATATATAATTAACAGAATAAATGGCGCGCGCGAAGCGCGCGCTTTGTTTTGTTCTAGTTACCAATAAATTGTATATCCATATTACCTTTCCATGCAGTAAGAAGAACAGGATTATAATCATTTATATTAATTACATTCTCCGTTCGAGGAAGATCGTAAAGTCTACTTTTTTTGTTTTAATTGTTTTCTACTTGCTATTGAAGTTGCTACATTTTTCATGTTAAAAGTTTTAGTAACGGGACGAGGAAATCCAAAACGACATCGACGAATAACTTTACGACCTACTTTTTTTGAAGCGAAGAAACAATAATCGTTGTGTTTATGTCGTTGATGCGTATCAACACGTTTGTACAATAATGGTGAAATATTTTCATCTGGCATTCTGCAGCTTATATGTTGTAAAATAAATTTGGAAACTTCTTCAACAGTAGATTCACCGGAAATCGGTGCATTTTTAATCCAAATCAATAAATGGAAATGTTGTATACCTCTACCCAGAGCCGGTTTAAGGTATTTGTAGGCTAGGGGCTGATGTTAAAACGGGGCCTCCTTCGTTCATATAAGAATTGTCTACTTGCGTAGATAAATATCTATTTTTAATAAAAATTATTTATTGAATAATAACATTGAATTAAATGCAAAATAGATACATATTTTGCAATTCCTATTTAAACGTGATTGTTCGTATGACTTTTGTCGTTTCTGTTTAAACGATATAAGTAAGTTCTGGATGCTGAAAAATAAATACATGAAAATAATTCACATTTTATTGAAATTACAATAGTACTTATAAAAGTTTTTTTCTTGATTTATTGCGCGCAAATTTATTGATTAAATCATTAAATTCAAGATTTTTTAGCAATTCGCTCTCTATTGCTAATAATGCTAATGACGATAATCTAGTATCCGTCATTGTGGATCGATATTTATTTTTTATTATAGTTAATTTAGAAAACGATCGCTCGGCCTCGCAATTTGCGATCGGTATTGTCATAAATAGTCTAAATGCTACGTATATATTTGGAAAGACTTCTTCAAGTCTTCGATCGCACGTCCATTTTAAAATATCCAATGGAAAGAATGTAACATTTTTGAAGCTAGTTTTTATAAACGGAATAAATTGTTCCAGTTCGCAACCTAAACTACTTTCTAAATCATGAGAATAAATGCTAACAAGACGATTAGCGCACTCTCGCATTTCATCGATTTCGATG